ATATATATATATATATATATATATATATATATAATCTGATACTCTGATCCTATACCGTTTCAGACATATATAATCTGATGGAGTTTCCATATACAAACATCTATGTCCAATTTCCATATATATAGACAAGGATGGAAGGGGAAATTCAAATCTGGATTAAATGTAAAGATTGCCCTTTTTAACCAATTTTGATTATCTTCCTCCTTCCCTTTGATGAGTCAAGATCTGTTGTGGCCCGCCAGCGGTCAGTGGAGCTGGCAGCAGATTTGGAGTGAGGAGGTTGGGAAGGAACATGAGCCAGTCCTGGAGTCTGGGGAAGGCTCTGCATTGGAGGCAGAAATGGGGCCAGGGCCGCCTGACAGTTATTGGCTGCCTTCAGAGTCAGACATCAGTGAGGCAGACAAACAGCTGGAGCCTGTTCCCAGTGTGCACATGCACAGAATTGCCAGATGAAGGGAACAGCTAAGGAACAACTTGGGAGTAAGACCACAGGTGGATGGTGAATGGCCCCTCCCATAGGGAATAAAAGAGGAACAAAAGGGGAGTGGAGTTTGCAGGAGACAATTAGTTTGCTTAATTGGTTCGTGACTCTCAGGGACTCCTTGCCAAGTTTTGAAGGTATCTGCCTGGCAGCTCTCCAAGTCAGATAAGGTCTGTGACTGTAAATCCTCCCTTGAAAGACTTCGCTAGATGTGAATGAGAGGAATTCATAGTAATGTAATAAAAAGGTTTTTTGCCGGGACAAGGAGTCTGCTTCATGGTTTGGGGAAGCCTGGGTCTGAACAAGATCTTTCTCCTTCCTTTTGATGAGCCTTCTCAAGTGTGGGAAACTATTTCTATGTGAATTTCAACTCTCCGAATTCCCTAGGCAACATGCTGCTCCCTGAGAATTCTGGGACATCAGCGTATCTGGAGGGGCACCTGGATTGGAGTATCCTACGTTTGATAACAGCGTATGAGAATGTCTCCTCTGTGCAATGGCCTAGATCATTTCAACTCCCAGAATTCCCTTGCCAGCATGGTGATTTGGGGAATTCTGGGAGTTGAAATCCACACATCTTAGTTGTTGCCCAAGATTGAAAGAGACTCGCCTATATAATTACACACACACACACACACAATGTTTTAATAGTTCCACAAATGTACCCTTATGACACAAGATCAATAGTAAGGATTCTTTATATCAGCAGATATTTTTTTAAAAAATCATGACAGGAGGATGGACAATGACAGCTGTGTGAAGTCCCCAAGATGTTTCTGTAATGGGAGCCTGAGAAAACCACAAGCTTTCTTGAGGTTGACAATAAGGCCTGATGAGGTTAACCACAACTGTGCTAAAATTCTTCACTGAAGGCGATGTGGAAAGGCAAGCCGTGGTGTACTGTTAATTTAGATGCCGTGACAACCAAACAGCCCATAGTCATCGCCACCTCACAGGAAGCTGAGCAGAAGGAATTGCTTTACAAATTTATATATATAGGCAGTGTTTCCCAACCTTGGCCACTCCCATATGTGTGGACTTCAAGTCCCAGAATTCCACAGCCAGCAGGCATAGTGAATGAAAGTTCTGGGAGTTGAAGTCCACTTATCTGGAAATCTCCACGGTCTTCAAATAGCGACCCTCTCATCATGTCAGAAGCCCAGTTTCTTTGCTGAGGGGAAATATTACCTTTGAGCAGTAATGATATTGTTTCTTAAAAGAAATAAAGATGAACTCTGCATCTGTTACCATATTCTTCGGACTATAAGACGCACTTTTTTGTCTCCCAAAAGGGAGTGCGTCTTATAAACCAAATATTGCTGAAGCCCCGCCTATCCGCTGGCCATTTTTTGGCCTCCGCACGCCCTGCTTTTGAGGCTATTTTTGGCCTTTTTCAGCCCATTTTGGGGGGGGGGGGTTGGCCTGTTTTTGAGAGTTTTTTCAGTTCATTTTCGAGGCTTTTTCCAGTCCATTTTCTAGGCTTTTTTGGCCCATTTTTGAAGCTTTTTTCAGCCCATTTGTTTTGGAAAAAACAGGCTGAGATAGCCTCAAAACTGGGCCAAAAACGCCTCAAAAATATGCCAAGAAAAGCTCAAAAATGGCCCCAAAAGCATTAAAAAGGGGCTGAAAAAAGCCTCGCAAATAGGTAGAAAAAAGGCTGGAAAGGGGCAGAAAAAGGCCGCCCAAAAGGGCCAAAAATGGGGGGCACGGAGGCCAAAAACCTTTCCTGTTGTTGTTTCCCTCTTCTAAATTCAGATGCATCTTATAGTCAGGTGCGTCTTATAATCCAAAAAATACGGTAGCTATTAATCTGTCTGAAAGTTAATGGAAGTTTGACAGAGCTGTCAGAGGTCCTGTTCAATTCGCATTTTCCTTCTTGACCTTCTTCATAGGTGCTGGGACTCCAGAAGGCAGGGTGGAAAACAATCACGTTGACTTGGAAAAGCTGCCTAGAGGGACCAAGACTGGAGGGAAGCCACCTTAGATCCTCATTTGTTTCTTGTTTCGTCTTGATTATTTTTCCACACTTGACAAACACTACAACCAAGACTGACTGAGATGCCGGCATAACAGCCTTAATGCGCGATGGAAAGGCGAGCGTTTCCAAAGACATAAAATAAGGGAATGATCACCTCTCCAATGAAGGGGGGTGGAGAAAATGCAAAGAGAGGAGCTCCTGTATCGGCATCAAAAAAAGTCACCCATCCCCCTTCGTAGTTCAGAACTATTCTGATCTTCTTGGGCATCCTACGCAAAGTCAAAGGAGTATAAAAGGGAGGGTTGTACGCCGTGTAGTTGCCATCCCACTTCCCCACGGCCCAGAACCCTTCTTCTGGACAAAATTCAATGTCTCCTTTTCTCCTCACAGACTTTCGGGCAACTCCTACGCCCCAGGTGTCTTCTGTCCCCACAGTGACTTCCCAGAAATGCCTGCCGGTAGTGAACCCTGAACAGGCCAACACAAAAGGCCATTCATCAAATCTTTCTGGGGTTTTGGCTAGAGGTTGATAAAATTCGCCCATTTTCAGGCTTTTACAGTCGTCTGCCAAAATGAGACGAGGGTGAGCTGTGTCTGGGTCCAGAAATACATGTGCTGTTGAGGGGAAAGAAAAATGAGAAAAGAAAAGATAAGAGGCGTTAGTTGTTAAAATGGCAGTATGCTATTGGTGCAAATCAAGAGGTCGGCTGTCCCCTTATAAGGCCTAAACAGCCCAAGAGTTTGATTATACAGGTAGTCTGTGACTTACGACCAGTGGTGGGTTTTAAAAAAATTTTGAACTTACTCTGTGGGTGTGGCCTCCTTTGTGGGAGTGGCTTGCTGGCTATGTGACCTGGTGGGAGTGGCTTGCCGGCCATGTGTTTTCTCTCTCTCTTTCTCTCTTTCTCTCTCTCTCCTTACTTTTGTCTCTCTGTCCCTTTTTCCTTTTTTTCTTTCATCTCTCTCACTTTTTCTTTTTTCTTTTTCTCTTTCTCTCTCTGTGTGAGTCTGTGTGTGTGTGTTTGTGTGTGTGTGTCAGTGGTGAGTTTCAAAAATTTTGGGAACCTCTTCTGTAGGTGTGGCCTGCTTTCTGGTGGAACCTCTTCTAACCGGTTCGGTAGATTTGACGAACCGGTTCTACCGAACTGGTGCAAACTGGTAGGAACCCACCTCTGCTTATGACCATAACTGAGGCCAAAATTTCTGTTGCTAAGTGAAACATTTGTTAAGTGAATTTTGCCCCATTTTACAACCTTTCTCACCACAGTTGTTAAGTGAATCACTGCAGNGAGGAGGAGGAGGAGGAGGAGGAGGAGACAACAACATCATTAAGGTAAAGTTGCTGGTCCTAAGGAGGGATCCTGCTTTTTCTTAAGAAAGCTCTCTAATGGGAGTATTCCATTTCTGTTTTAAATCTACTTCTGGATTTCTATGCATAAGAATTTCTTTTAAAAAGCCAGCACACATTCTGCTATGGAGAGGGCAATTTTAACCTTTTGCTTCCTCTGAGGATCTACGTCTACCAGCTTCAGTGCTATTATCTCCATACTAATAATCTCATCTTGAATTTTATATACAAAATGTCAAGAGGGATTAATTAACCCGAAAAGCTGCCTTCCTTCCTGACACCCACCCAGGTATACCTGTGGTATTTTGAAGATGCCCAAAATAGTTGAAATCTGGATGGAAATATCAGCATCAGATCCTTTGAGGACAGCCAATACATTTTCTTGCCTTCCACAACTATAGTTTGGAACATTTGCCTCCCCAGTAGAAACTAAGTTTAGAAGAGCATCCGAAGTCATCCTAGTGTCATAATAGTTGTCGTAGATATTGTAGCCCAGAGTAATGTTGTAGAGAAACCTATGGTCTTGGTTGATCTCCTGAATGGCAAAGAGGAAGGAGAGAATTTTCCAGAACATCATGGATCCTTTCCTGAAAATATATGTTTACAGAGTATCCTATAATTTGCTTACTTTGTGCTTTTCAGTCCTCAAAACTTTTTCCATGTAAAGTTTACACTAATCCAAGATCAGAGTTAAAACCCAAGGGTCAACTAAAATTTAATTCTTTGGAGTACTGATGGTCTTCTAACCATGTTCAGGGATTTTTTTACAAAACAAATAATCCTATGAATGAATGAATATGCTCCTTATCTACTCAGTCACTGAAGCTTTTTTAGCAAATTATGATGCTACAAAAACTACAAAAAAAGATGGTTCAATATGCCATAGAGCAAAAGGTACCATAGGAAAACTAGAATATAAAATCCAGAATATCATTAGATAACAATCATTTGAATGGAAGAAGTAAAGACATTGAGTGTGTGGAGGTAAAGTTGCTAGACTGGCAAATAGAAACCCAACTCCTAAACTACTTCCTGAAGCTCCCTGGGGGTCATTGGGCCAATGGATTTGAGGGTGCTTATAAGAACAGAAGAATTAAAATCAAAGAGTTTATGCCAGGCTTTGCTAATATACTGTATCTGTTTAGACCAGGGGTGGGAACTATGACCTGTGGACTTCAATTCCCAGAATTTCTCAGTCAGTCATGCTCAGGAATTCTGGGAACTGAAGTCCATAGATCATAGAGAGTCCATAGTTCCCCATCCCTGGCTTAGACAAAGGCAAGAAAAGGATTTAACTGGGGCTGCGGAAGAAAATTGCATTGACACAGCCCCAAAATCATTGCCAGGAAAATTCTCATGCTTAATGGAAACATACTGGGGAAAGTTAGCTTTGGGGTGCATTTTTTTTGTACTTTAAACAGTTTTTTTTTCAATTTTATAGAATTTTATTTATACAGGAAATACATAATTTGATACGAGTTTATTAAATGTATTAAATAAACCCTTATTAAACTTTTTTTAATTAGACGATACAATCTCAAGCAAACTAAAAAAATGCAAACTAAGAGAAAAAAAAACTACCTTCTGTTTCTTACTTATTAATAATCCCGGGCTTACTCAATAATACACTATTATCCATGCAAATTATTACTGTAAAATATCACACATCTCTTCCTTGCTCTTTAAACTGATGTCAAAAACATATCAGAAGAAGCTTTGGCCAATGCAGAATGGGAAGTGTGCCTTATGCCCCAAAGTCTTTTCTCCAAAGCAGGAGCTCACAACTATCAGATAAAGGGGAAAGAAACGAATCCCTCTAGAAGGCTGGATCTTCAAACCTTCAGACTCAGAAAGCTCAAAGTGCTGTGAAAATATCTACTGACCCCTCACATCCTGGACATAAACTGTTTCAATTCCTACCTCAAAACAATCCTATAGGGCACTGCACACCAGAACAACTAGACACAAGAACAGTTTTTTTTTCCTAAACGCCATCACTCTGCCAAACAAATAATTCCCTCAACACTGTGAAACTATTTACTAAGTCTGCATTACTATTACTATTCATCTTCACAGCGTTCCTATCACCCATCTCCTCTGTATGACTGTAACTTTGTTGCTTGTGTCCTTACGATTTATATTGATTGTTTCCTAGTATGGTTTCATTGCTCATTTGTACCCTATGACTATCATTAAGTATTGTACCTTATGTTTCTTGAAGAACGTATTTTTCTTTTATGTACACTGAAAGCATATGCACCAAAGACAAATTCCTTGTGTGTCCAATCACACTTGGCCAATAAAGAATTATACTCTGTTCTGTTCTGTTCTATTCTATTCAGATATCTGTGGCAAGTGTAGTGACCACAATGGGCCTGCCTTACCAAACAAACTCAGCAGAGGGTGCCTTCCCAAAACTGTATGCCTGAAACTGTGCCTGACTCCCAGAGATGATCCCACCGATGAGAAGCTCTCCGGGCTTGTAAAAATTCAGGGGTTGGGCTCCTTCCATCTTCAACCTCAAGGAGCATTTGGTTCCGAGCCTGCTGTCCACTACCTGGGATAGCAGCAAAGCTAGCAGAAAAAAGAGGGCCATTCTTTGTATGGCTGGGTCCAATACTTGTTTTGGCACAGCTTATTTGAAATCACAAGAAAGAGTTTCAAACATGCTCAGTCCCAAGACCGAAGCTCGTATGGGTTTCCTGTTTCAGATGGAGCCCAGCTAAGGTTGAACATCTGAAGAAGATGAAGTCTTCGGCACTATCTATTCCCACTCCCAAAATCATCCACCTCATGCAAGTCTTTGTGATGTAAAACCTCAGCATATGTTGTTGCTCCTGAGTCGATTCTTTCTATGGCAGGCAACTTGTTAGAAAAATAAAGTCTCTGGAGCTTTGGTACAAAACAAAGAAACAAATTACTATTATTTGGGTAATTACAAGGAGAAGAAATATCCATCTGCAACATCCTGAACTCTGTGGGATTCTGGTTCAGATGGGACTGCAAAGTATGCTTTCTAGGCCCATGTCAGCATGCTTTCTGAATGCTTCACTATAACTAAGGTGACCAGATTTTCAGNCTTTTTTTCTTTCATCTCTCTCACTTTTTCTTTTTTCTTTTTCTCTTTCTCTCTCTGTGTGAGTCTGTGTGTGTGTGTTTGTGTGTGTGTGTCAGTGGTGAGTTTCAAAAATTTTGGGAACCTCTTCTGTAGGTGTGGCCTGCTTTCTGGTGGAACCTCTTCTAACCGGTTCGGTAGATTTGACGAACCGGTTCTACCGAACTGGTGCAAACTGGTAGGAACCCACCTCTGCTTATGACCATAACTGAGGCCAAAATTTCTGTTGCTAAGTGAAACATTTGTTAAGTGAATTTTGCCCCATTTTACAACCTTTCTCACCACAGTTGTTAAGTGAATCACTGCAGTTGTTAAGTAAGTAATACGGCTGTTAAGTTAATCTGGCTTCCCCAATTGACTTTGCTTGTCAGAAGGTTGCAAAAGGGGATCATGTGACCCTGGGACATTGCTACGGTCATAAATAGGAGTCAGTTGCCAAGCATTTGAAATTTGATCACATGACCATGGGGATGCTCCAGCAGTCATGTGAAAAACTGTCTTGTCATTTCTTTTCAGTGCTGCTATAACTTTGAACAGTTACTAAATGAACTGTTCTAAGTCGAGGACTACCTGCATACAATATCTAGATATATAGAGCTGTGGTGGCACAGTGGTTAGAATGCAGTATTGCAGGCTAACTCTGCCCACAGCCAAAAGTTCAATCCTGGACTGACTCTAGGCTGACTCAGGTGTTGGGTTTATTCTTCTTCCAGTACTAGGAAGTTCTGGGAATACGCCTTTTATTTGGTCATTTCACAACTGCTACACAACGCTTCTATCATCCTCAACCCTTCTGCCTTTTGTGCCTTTCAGCCGTTAATACTAAGACGCTCACTGGTGGTTTGGGAATCTCTAGATACAGAACTCCAAGGAAATGTAACAAACCAACTTTCCAATAAATTGCTATTCCTTCTAAACTCTTACGCCGTCTTCCTGACAACAGGATTTACCTTTCTGCAGCTGAAGTCCAGTCATCAGAGACTCTGAGAGGGGGGAAAAAAAGGAAGGGAACTTGAAGCATAACATAAATCCAGGAAGAACAAAAGCATTTTATACAACAAAATTGCATCTTAAATAGAAACCAACAAGAATCTGGCAGGAAGGCAGTACACTTTTTTCTTTTGAATCTAGCTATCAGATTCCAATTACCCCTAATAGGCAATGTAAATTAATAACTTGTTTCATAGGAAGGAAAGGGAAAAAGTATAGAGGAGAGATGAGGGGAGGGGACAGGAGAGGAAGGGGAAGGAAAAGGGGAAGGGAAGGGCTGTCAACATTTGTTTTGGACAAGGGGTTCTAGTAAGGGAGTGTCAAGATAGCATCAGTGATCATCTAAGCAAAACTGTTCTCCTCTTTTGCCTTCTGGGGGCCCCTTCTCCTACAGACGCCCCTGTTTTGCATCCAATCATGTGAAACACTTCACAGAAGCATCATTCTACATTACCATTGAATATATTTCCAGAATTTTCCAGAAACGGATTGATATCACAGAAATCCCAGGACCTCCATTTCAGCTCCAGAGGAAAAACAACGGAGTTTTCAAGCGCTTTGTCATACCTGGGGAACAGAAACAAAATAAAGACATGTGGCAGCTTCAAACACACAGTGACAATGGGAATAGTTTGGAGAACGTTGGGCAGAAGGAAAGGGATGCTTAAAGGTTTAGAGAAATATTATTTTGCAGAAAGAAGCACTGTTGATATTCTCTAGGTGCTAAAGATGCTAAGAAAAATGATGGTATCAACAAATGACAAGCAAATGAGTTGAAATGGCTTAGCTTGGAAGATGGTTGAGTTCCTTCAGATAGGCAGCTCTGATGGTAAAATGTCATATGTTCAAATCCCTAGCACCGCGTAATGGAGTGAGCTCCCGTTACTTGTCCCAGCTTCTGCCAACCTAGCAGTTTGAAAGTACGTAAAAAATTCAAGTAGAAAAATAGGGACCACCTTTGGTGGGAAAGTAACAGTGTTCTGTGCACTTTTAGCTTTTAGTCATGGTGGCCACATGACCACAGAGACATCTTCGGATAGTGCTGGCTCTTTGGCTTTGAAACAGAGATGAGAACTGCCCCCTAGAGTCAGGAATGACTAGCACATATGTGCGAGGGGAACCTTTACCTTTACTAATGTGTTTCAGGTTATGATTCTCTCCTTTTTTTTTTCCACAAACGCATGCACGTGTACGTTTTTAAAAGTCGCTCTTATTTTCATCGAAAAATAAATGGAGAGAGTGTGGAATTCCATACTTCCCAAGCAAAGAGAATCTGGAAAGCCCTCCATGTGCTTCAACTCCCACTGTTTCCTATCATTGACCAAGCCTGCTGTCGGTTGACCGGATTTGAAGTCCAGACAATCAGGAGGGTGGCTTATTTTCTGCTAACTCTCTGCCTTGGTCTTAGAAAGGATGGGAGAAAATGAGCAGGATCTACTTACCTTTGCATGTTGGCTTTAAAATCCTACAAAGAAAAGAAAAAGAGATCTCACTCTTTGCAATAGAGTAAAGTAAGAAGGTTGCTTAAGCCCTCAGAGGCCTCCAAGCGTGGCCACTTTAAGTCCCAGGATTCCTCAGCCAGCCATGCTGGCTAGTCAATTCTGAGAGTTGAAGTCCACAAGTCTTAAAGCAGCTAAGTTTGGAGAACCTTAGCCTCAGCGATGGTCTTCTCTAGATCTTTGAAGAAGCTATAGCTCAATGGGAGACTCACAGAGCAGATGAAGCCCCCTATTGTTGAGTCTTGACCATATACTTGATAAGGTGCTCTTATTCACAAGAGCCGTGGTGGCGCAGTGGTTAGAATGCAGTACTGCAGGCTACTTCTGCTGACTGCCGGCTGCCTGCAATTTGGCAGTTCGAGTTTAAGCCACAATTAAACCAGTCTTCTTTAATTTAGCAACTTTAAGATGGGTGGACTTTAAAATTCCCCAAAAATTTTTTGTTGGCTATGCCGGCTGGAGAATCTTGGGAGCTGAGGACCTTACATTTTAAGATTGCCATGGTTGAGAAATGCTGAATTAGACATTGCAAGGTTCAAAGCTCCTCACATGAATTGAGGTCTTGTTCAATTGACACCGACATTGGGTACCTAACATTGCTTCTCAAAGAAATTACATCAATTGAACAGCTTTGGGGTTCAATTTCCTTTGGAGCAGATCTGAATTTCGATTAGTGTATGCTCATAGAGTTTTTTAAGAAAGAAAAAAAATCCTGGAAATTTTGTATCTCTAAAAGTAGCATGAGAGGAAAGACAGTTAGGAAGTAGCATTGAGAAAAGACAGGGATAAATTAAAGAAAGAATGAGTCCTAGGCATTGAGAGAATCAAATATGAATGAGTTTTAGGAAATATTGTAAATAACAGAGAACTATGGTTCCTAATATGGGAATTCTTGTTCACACCACAGCCTTTTAATCAGATTTGGGGGATTAATCTCTTTGTTGTGAAATGAAATATTGATTCAAAAGATTGGATTAAAGTCTAAGACCCACAAATCACAATGTTGCCCACAGTCATTAGTTTGCACAGATTACTTCTTTTTTGGCCACAGACATTTGCATTTCTGTGACATGGGTTACTATAAGAGCGGTAAGTTCAAAGGAGTCATTTTATATTCTAAAGCAAAATCCAGTCTCTGCTTTGTACCCAGGTTAGTTGCAATAAAGTTTTCACCTCTTCCATTTCCTATAAACAAATATTTTGTGATTGACCATCTTTCAAAATGTCATAAGTATTCATTACTCCAAAAACATGAAAGAATGTTGTAAGACCTGACTATTAGCAACAGGGAAATGAATAGAATAGGTTAGGGTAAGATAGGGTAGAATAGAATAGAATAGAATAGAATAGAACAGAACAGAACAGAACAGAACAGAACAGAATAGAATAGAATAGAATAGCAGCTTGATTTGGCCAAGTGTGATTAGACATAGAAGGAATTTGTCTCCAGTCCATAAACTCTTGGTGTACATGCAAAACAACAGAGTATTAATAATCATAATCATTTTACCAATAAGGCAATAAAAAACAGATGAGAAGAATAACAGTAATACAGCCATACTACATGGGTAAATATCCTAAGATCTAAGGCAATACTGTGAGAGTTAGGTGTTCAGCAGAGTGATGCCATATTGGGGGGGGGGGACTGTCTTTGTTGTCTGGTTGTTTTGGCATGCAATGCCCTATTGTGGCATCCCGAGGGGAGGAGTTGAAACACTTCATGTGTGGTGGGTAGACATTTTCTCAGCCCTCCTTTTGATGCATGCAATATATATATATACCCTCAATGGAAAGCAGGCTGGTTGCAATTGTTTTTTCTGCTGTCCTAACCACCTGTTGAAGTCTGTAACTATTCTGTTTGGTTGCTGTACCAAACCAGACAGTTAGACTGAAGTGTGAATGATTTGATCTTTTCACATCCTAGGGAAGTGAAGGTGCTCCCTTTAGGTTCTGAGCTGGCTCTCTTCTGGTGAGGAGTCCAGACTAATATTAAAGCCATCTTCTTTTTAAACTAACTTACCATTAAGAATTCCACAGCTGGCAGCTCACGCACCTCCTGCATCTCCCGGATGATACTTTTAAGCACATTGCGTTCCTTTGAAAGTCCCTCCAAGTATTCCACCTTGGTTTTTTGAATATCCTTCTCCACCATTTTCATTCGGTTCTGTAATTGTTTTTCCTGTTTACGTAGAAAATCGTGTAGTTGTTTGAACACGTTGTCTAACTTCTCCTTCTCTTCTTCCATTTGTCCCTTTAATGGAGGAAGAGAGGAAGAGGAGGAAGGAGGAGGAGGAGGAGGAGGAGGAGGAGAGAGAGGGGGGGTCAAGTTCACCACCTTTTGGAATAAGCTTGATAATTCGCTGGTTTTCCAAAATTCAAAATTAACAAGACTTACAAGCAGCTCAGCAATTTCCTTTTCTGCATCTGAAGGATGACTTTCCATTATATCTTTCTTTTCCTCCAGAAGTATAATCCGGCTCCGTATCTGGTCCTGAAAAAGATGAATTGAGTTATGTTTCAAACATGATTCTCAATTCTACAAGTTTATTTACTTATCCATCAGTATAGGGATTTTTCTTTGGACCAAAAAGCAGAACTGTTTGAAGTGCTAGCTGCCTGTATCTCTCACGAAAAAAGGCAAATATTAATGTCCCAGGATAATAGAAATAGCACTTAGATTTCTACACCGCTTCACAATGCTTTACAGCCCTCTCTAAGCAGTTTACATAGTCAGCATTTTGCCCCCAATAATCTGGGTCCTCATTTTATCAACTTTGAAAAGAAGGAAGGCTGAGTCAACCTTGAGCCAATCAGGATCGAACTGGTAGCAGTGTCAGGCCTGCAAGCCATCTTTTACTTTGGACTTCGGGCCTGCCAGACTTTCCACTATTCATTTTCTATTGTGGGAAAATGGGAAGGGGGATTATATGGAGTTGGGTGATATGTAGCCATAATAACATTCTTTTAGAAACTCAAGGTCATCCTTTGTATCTGCACCTGGCTGGAACTGGATGGGTGGAAGCCGTCAGGATGGCAGTAGAAGATTGGACCATGTGGTGGACTTGTGGGTGTGGGGGCAGGATCTTGAACTTTCAACTGGGTGGGAAAACCTGGAAGTCTTCAGATTTTAGTTTTCCCAGATGTGCCAACATGGCTGTCTTAATAAATTGGAATTTTGAGGAATCCTTTGCCTCGGACTCTGATTTACTTTTGTATGCTATTTGGAACCCTGACAAGCAGTGGGAATGCAGAATTAGCCTGCAATACTGCATTCTAACCACTATGTCATGGCTCTATGTTGTATTATCTCCAGAATGGAGAGAAAAAAATTCCCTGAGGATGGGCAAATCTGAAAGCTTAGAAGAATAAATCTGTGGTCCCGATGACCAACTCAGATTAGATCCTGCAAAAAGTAGACTTTTACAAACTGCTCACCTTAGTATTTTCCATTCTTCAGCAACATCTCAGTACTGCTGTTCTTTCCACGTCTATCCAAAAACTAATGTTTCATAGAACCAAAATTGTAAGATTGGAAGAGACCCTGCAGAACATCTACTCCAGTATTTCTCAGCAATTTGAAGATGTGTGGAATTCAATTCCTATAATTCCCCAGCTAATGTGCAGACCAGAACAGGAACCCACAACGTATGACCAAAATTGAGCCCAAAATTTCTATTGCTAAGCGAAACATTTGTTACATAGGTTTTGCCCCATTTTAGTAGCTTTCTTGTCCCAGTTGTTAATGTTAACTCTGAATGCTTGCAGTTGTTAAATTAGTAACAGTGAATCTGGCTTCCCCATTAACTGTGCTTCTCAGAAGGTTGCAAAAGAGGATCCCTTGACCCCAGGACACATTATAAATATATATATAAATAACATCCGAATTTGATCACATGACCATGGGGAATGTTGCAACGGTCATAAGCGTGAAAAGTCATACATCACTTATTTCAGTGCCGTTGTAACTTCGAATGATCACTAAACAAACTGTTATAAATCAAGGACTACCTGTACTATAAATGGTCATCTAACCTTAGTTTAAATACTCCTGGGGTACCAGTTCATCATCTCCAGAGACATCATTGTTGAAGAGACCTTAATGTTAGGAAATTCTATCAGAGGTCCAATTGATATCTACTTGCTTGAAACTTAAACCATGATTTCTTGTCTGGTCTTTTAGAGCACCACTGAACAATTCTATTCCACCCACCCCATGATAGGGTCTCGGATACTTGAAAACCTTCTGATGGTCTCCTCTCTTCCTGGCTACTCACACCCAGTACTTCCAACCATTTTCCCTAGTTCCACAAAGATTCCCTGTTTCTATATGAACATCTGAATACTTCCCAAGTGTCCCTTTCAGTGGTGGGTTCCTACCGGTTCAGACCGGTTCGGCCGAACTGGTAGTGGTATCGCAGCCTGGGTCGCTGGAACAGGCAAGCAACCCAGGCCTCCCACACACCCCAAACTGGTTGCCCAGTCCCTTCTCACATCACTGGCATATTTCTGTGCATGTGCAGAACAGTTTTCAGTCAACTGCGCATGCGCAGTGGGCACGCAAGCAAGTGAAGTGGGCAGCGCACACACAAAATGCCCTCTCAGCAAACCGGTTAGGAACCAGAGGTGGGTTCCTACCAGTTCACAGCTATTCAGTAGAACCGGTTCGTCAAATCTACCGCACCGGTTAGAAGAGGTTCCACCAGTGGACCCGGAAAGCAGGCCACACCTACAGAAGAGGTTCCAAAATTTTTAAAAACCCAGCACTGTTAGGAACCCACCACTGGTCCCTTTGCCCCATCATAGAAACAACACATGTAAGAGCACTCTGTCATAAAACGAACAGTTTTGAAAGATTTTCCTTAGTGAGGTAAAAATATAGTCATTGTTCAGCAACAGGTTTTCTGTACAGTAATCCTCGACTTACAACAGTTCATCTATTGATCATTCAAAGTGACAAGAGCATTGTAAAAAGTGACTTAGGACTGTTTTTCACACAACCGTTACAGCATCCCCATAGTCATGCGATCAAAATTCAGGCACTTGGCAACTGAATCACATTTATGACCATTGCAGTGTCCCGGGGTCTTGTGACCCCCTTTTGTGACCTTCTGACAAGCATAGTCAATGTGTCAGGGTTCCAAGTAATACATCCCTAGCAAAAAGAACTCTGAGGCAGGCAAGTTCCTCAAATAACAATAGCAATAGCAATAGCAGTTAGACTTATATACCGCTTCATAGGGCTTTCAGCCCTCTCTAAGCGGTTTACAGAGTCAGCATANGGGAGGGAGGGAGGGAGGGAGGGAGGAAAGCACCACTAATATAACTGCAACTATTGTTCTACCCGTGTTTCCCTGAAAATAAGACCTGGGATTATTTTCTTTTGGGCCCCAAAATAAGCACTAGGGTTTATTTTCAGGGGGAGTGTCTTATTTTTTTCCCACACAGGTGGCTGTGCAGTGTGTCCAGCCAGTGCCGCAGCCACAAGTCAAGGCACGGGTGTTGGGGAAGGCAGGGCACAGTGGGGCTAGCCGCCTCCTGTGTGAAAAAGTAAAGTGAAAAAGTAAATGGGCGGGGTGTGGGGAAAGGTCTGTCCAGGGTGGGGGGAAGGCAAGTCAGAAAGACCCAGGCGAAAAGTCACACCCTTCTGACTTCCGGGTCACTTCACCCTTCTAGAGAGAAACCAACATTTTGATCCCACTTCTGGGTTTGAGCTCAAAGTGAGGCACACAGGCAGCCTGCCCTGCAGAGTGCCAGCCAGCCTTACCCACCAGGAAGGAGGCCACTGCCTCCCGCATGGTCCTTTCCATCCTTCCTGCAACTGTATCCCCCCCTCCAACACCCCCCCATGCCACCCATCTCCATGAAGGCCCTGTCCGGATGCAAAGGATATTGTTGAGATGGTGGTAGAGCCTGCAGAGCCCTGATGCTGGTAGGGTGGGGTGGTGGCAGCACGAGTCCTGGCCACTGCCATTGCCACAAGCGGTGGAACGGGAGTGGCAGCAGGCGGCACCCCGCTGGTCACTGCTACCAGGTAAGATGGGGAAGGGGCTGCTCCGACCGTCACCACCAGGGCTCTGCGGGCCAGATAATGAATGGATTGGACGACACTGGAGGTGGGGCGGCTGTGGCACCATGTTGCTACCCCTGCACATTCCGCCCCCCCCCATCCTACATCGTCCTCCAGCTCCGCTCCCTCCTCCTCCCCCCACTTTGGTCCTGTGGCACCATTTCACACTGCCCGGTCCCCATTCACCGTTTCAATGGCAGCTGCTCTGGAGGCCTGCAGCTCTGCCCCCGCGTTTCAGTACCAGTGGATGCCAGCCTTGCAAATAAGTCAAATAAATAATTTTGGGGTCTGCATGGGAAGCCCCTCCACCAGGGATGTGCAGTCACTAGAGGCAGGGGAGGCGGGGCCTCACCACTCTCCTGAGGAAAAGGAAAGAATTTTAAAGAATTTTTTTTAAATAATTAAAGCCAAGGTAGTTGCTGCCAGACTACAAGTCACAGTGACTTGGAGTCTGCTTAGTGTTAACTGTA